CCTCTCAGTCTGTGGATACATCTAATATCGTCGGCCTTGAGTGTACTTCTAAAAACGCTCTTAAGTTGGATTCCACAGACTCTAACAAGCTCAAGTCAATTTCTCTGGTTGCCTATAGCTATCCTTCACAGCTCGCATGCACACCATTAGAAAAGCGAGATTCACCTTCATTTGTTCCTTCTTCTTTTGCATCTGCAGCAAAGTCATCCCAATTGCCTTCAGGTCAAGCTACTTTGAATTCTTCATCAACTACAACTGCTACAATAGAATCATTTTCCAATATGATACTAGTTGAGACCGTTACTGACACCAACGCGGTATCTCCTCCTACAACTAGTCAAATTGCTAGAAAATCACTTCACATGCCTGATTCACTGCCTCTTTCCACTACAGAGGAAACATCTACTGTTGCCACTTCCACAGCCGAAGCAACCTTTGATAACGTGGAACTATTGGGACAAAAGGCTTACTCAGTCATCGCTGCTCCTGCACAGTCAGAAAGGAGTTTGTACCTAGCATCAACGGAATCAACATCCCCAGAATTTCCTTCCCTCTTAGCTTCTTTGTCGGCTGTAAGTTCTAGTCATCTTTGTGCAATATCTTAATTTATGCTTATAATTTTGTTTTAATAGCTGGAAACTTTTCGCCCTTGTCTTGCCGGAATCATACTTGTCTTTTTTCATTTGTTTAATTTTTCCTATTTCCTCTAATACCTCATTTATCAGTTCTTTTAATAACTATGTGAATGACCTTATCATAATGTAAGGCTTATTCCTTGACCTCCGTTAAAAGTGCTCGAACGCATCTCAATAATTTATTTTAGACTGCTAGAAGGCGTCTTTCTTGTTTCCTCGCAAGAGTAGGTGAGCGCAAACTTACATTGACTCACTGGGGCCGAGCCTAATTATATCCTTTTCGGACGAGCCCTGAGATGGAACTCTTGGATTCCTTAAGATATTAAGCTTACTTCAATTTCGAGTGAAAATGTCTGGTGAAGAGATTTAAAAATCGGTCCCATCAGAAGACGACTGAGGATTCCTCTTGACCAACTGTCGATCGATTTTACTGGAAAATTCTTGTTGGCTCTCTTTTCGAGGTAATCTCCTTCGATTCCGGTTAAAATGTGATAGGCTTTCGTCCTTCGTATGACGAACATCGTTATAGCAGAGTATCATCCTTACAACCAAATTCAAGTTAATGAGTCACCGGCTCATCCTAAAATGATGTATATCTACTTTATATAGGGCCTCTTTGATGAGGC